CAGTCCAGGGTCGGAATCAAAAACGCCAACGAGCATGATCCTTGAGGTTTTTGAAATGTTCCAGAAATTTCAAAAGTGAACAGAAGAGAGAGAGAACGCTTGACTATGACAACTGATATGAGACTTTATCTCGGATTGATTATCTGATTTCAGTAAGGTTCCTTTGTCACAGGGCACAAGGACTGTTCGTAAATCGAGACTGATTCATAGTCGACATATCAGTGTTATTCCTTACTACTTTGCGACGATCACGTACATATTGCTACGTATGTGGCGATCGTTGTGAATAGTCATTTCTCTGAATCAGTCAAAGAATCCAGAGAAATCGAGTAACGATGTTACTCAAATACTACTGCGATGCGAAGACAACAATATGCACTACACTGGTCAATCAATCGAAGTCATTCTGAGTCACTGCATAGCTCAGCAATTCGCTGAAGAAAAATTCCTTTCGACTTGTTCCAACCACTCAGAATAGTCAGAAAAACCTCTTGGTGACGAACACCATAAAAACAGCAGCACTAAGGTGTTAGCAGCTACCGTAGCATAGGACTTAAAGCTACACCTTTATTCGATAAACACATAAAGTGCTTGTAACCACACCGCACGACGAAATTCATTGAGAGTGCTGAAAAACTACAAATTCTTGTCTCTCAAGAGAACAATCAAAATTCTTCGTTAGCTATTCCTGCAAAAGCTCGGAAAAGACACTGGAATGAAATACATTTTCCGGTGTGTAGCGCAGAGATAGGGGTGCACTGTAACATACACGATGCTGGTTCGACCCCGACCCCGGAAAGACCAAACTGTACATATCCTTTCTCCTTCCCCAACCGAGGTTAGTAAATCAGTACAAAACACTTTTGGGAGGAAGAACAAAAACTAGCTTGATACATTCGTAAGGTACTGCAAGTCACGAATTCAACCACTTCGACGATCCTCTAACTAAGTCGAAAGTATGACATGCGCAGCCCACTGGGGTTGTTAAACTCCAAGCGGCTCATCTATGGCACAACACAAAAAGCTTAAGACTAATTTTAGAGTGGTGTGCAAAAAACGTTTGCGTCAGCCGGGGTTGTACCGATTTTTAGTTATTTTACACGACATTCACATACTCGTTAGAGTTCAAAACTATGGATTATCAAAGCTATACCTTCTAAATATAATTGTATATAGCGCAATGGTTAGAGGTACGACATAGCAACACAGATGTCCGTAATTACCAAGTCTTCTATTTCTTCACGGTGGGTACCTTGGAATCAGACCTCTTTGGAAGAGTAGCACCACTGATCTGATGCATCGGTAAGCTACCGCAAGTCATAGTTCAGATCAGATATGCGTTCAACTACGCCTATAATGCTTAATGGAGTCGAAAACAAGGCGTATCTTCTGAAGACCGATCAACACCGAGAGCTCCTTCCTATCTATATTTTTCGAGTCCAGACAGACTATCGGTCTCCCTCAAGGCCACCTGATCTGGTCGATAAAGTTGGCAGCTGTCAAAAGTAGTTGACTGTCAAGACAGTTGAATATACCTCCTGGTAGGAATTTCTGAATGGCTAATGAGTCTATGACAATAGAACTTCCGTTTTAGACTGAGTACTCAGATGCTGTTGTAATCGACTTAAGCATTAGCATCTCATAGAAAGTTTTAAGCCATTCGGAGGTCTGGTAGAAGACATCTCTAGTGGTATACATAAGTTTCGGTGCATCTCGCACGCCCTACGGCTCATCTCAGCTAATATTAGAAATCGGCGCCGACAAACATCATTTTATGTCAAGTGAAGAGACCACATGATGTGGCGTTCTTTCTGAGTAGTTGATTGTCGACTGCATGTGTTACGGCTGATATGGCGCGTATATCCAAAATGGTCGATTGACAGGCATTGTTACTTATGCTTCGTAAGAGTCGTAAGCCTAGTCACAACCAATCACTCTGAAAGAAAGCCAAATCGAGTGATCTTTTCGCTTGACGTAAAGTAATACTTTTTCGGCGCCGATCGTTAATATTAGCAGAGGTGAGCCGTAGAGAACATGTGGAACTGGTGAAGACTGCGAGAAAATGTAAAAACGTACATATAAGACTGAAGGTAGCTATACTAGACCTCTGGAAGATTTGAAATATTCGATCGGTTTACACAGAATTTGCGAGCGAGGTCTCAAAACTGTGGACTAAACGGTTTTGTTACGACTCACAATCATCATCATTTGCCAAATTTGCCAGCTAAGATCGCAACGGGAACGCACTAAAAGGCCCAACAGTAGCGACTTCTATGGATCGACATTTTCGTTGCAATCCACTGTGGATAAGAATAGTGATCCAATCAAGTGAAAATGGGACAAGAGCTTCCTCTTTTTTTCACAATAAACGCTCATAGCAGTATGCAGCTTGCTTGCGAGAGTTCTAGGAGACATGTGCGAACGCGCAGGAATACCTTCAGGTTTTAATCCTATTTTGATGTGTCACTGAGATAATTGAAGAACTAAGCACTGTCTCCAGACGATTCACCATAAGAACAAGTGCACAGATACCGCGCTTAGAAACTACGACTTTTGAAGCCGGAAAATTGTTTTTTGGTGTGCGTCGATAGCCCTGTATCCTTACAGCGAACACTGGATAGAAGATTAATGGATTATGAAGCGGAACTCGAATCAAACATCCCAGACACTCAACATAAAACACGTCTTGTGTAAACACAACACAATGGTTACGCTATGAAAATTAAGGACAGACGATGAACGGGCGCTTCGTGGTGATCAATTCCTGACAGATGGGCCATACATCCTGCCTTATCCGGCATCGTCAGAGGTGCTGAGTGCACATTTGACATCCACATTGACGTAGGCTTGCCTCCGATGTACCAAATCAGTGCTGCTGCCCTCCGCAATAAGCCCGGTACAAGGTGCCGACCCCGGAGCGATGCAAGGCTCGTTGGGAAGAGTGGGAGGCGGGATCGAAACAACAACAAAACTATCCCTGGGCACCTCTCTATCCACTGCGTCACACGCCCCCATAACCAACAGTCTGGGTTTAGGGTGACCCTGCTCATCAAGTGTCTTAAGGGGAACTCACGGCAACAAGAAAACGGAGACCGAATATTCCGAGAGAGATAAACGAGCTGATTAGGTAAGAAGACGACGAACAGCCGGTAGCCGAGTGCGGCAGGAACAGCAAGCGCAGTTGAGGGAGGGGGTGAGATCTGTGCGGGCGGCGGCTGACTGACACCAGCCTACGCTCCGTCTCTGCCCACCCCCGACTGTCTGCGCTCTGCCGTCATTCCAACATTACACCTCGACTTGCTGCTAACTAAGGTGAGTTTTTTTTTCTCTGTCTCTCTCTTTAAATATCAACGCTTCCACTGGCACTGGAGGCGTCGGTATTAAGGAGCTTCTTGAGCTAACAGAAGGTGGTGAGCTGAACGATGCTGGATTTGTGAAGAGGAAGAGAGGATCTGCAATAGAACGCGCGCAAGACGTCGTCGATCTACGCGTACGTAGGTGTAACGTGGTTGAAGTCGATGTAGCGCAGCGCGAAACTTAACATTCTACTGGCTGTTACAGCGTAATAAATAGTTCTTCACAAAAACCAGGGGCACTATCGAAATTGGCAAGATCTAAGCTATCGAAAGACTACTAAAAGTCTGCAGGAAAAGCTTTGCTCAGCGAGAAATATTTTATCAAAAACATGATTTTGTTTCTGCTCTTACAGCGCAGTAACACAGCCATATTGGAAAGCGTGAATGTGTATGTATTGTGTATATATGTGTGTATATGTGTGTACGTGTGTGTGTGTGTGTATTCTCTGTGTACGTGGTGTGAGTGTGTGTGTGTGTATCTGTATGTGTCGGTGTCTATGTCTGTATGTAGACGTGCGAGAACCGGCTGGCGATATCGGCTTGTTGCCGAATGCGCATAGTTGGTTTGCGCCAAGAAGATTCAGCCGCAAGTAGCATCGCGATCTATTAGTATTATGGCTAAACATCCCATTGACGAGAATATAAAGACGAATTCAAAACTGCAAAGGTTCATGCATTAGAATGAATAGCTAGTAATTACACGGGCACGGAAATTGTTGAAAAGAGTAGAGAAATTCGCTCAAAGATTCCAGAGCTTTCCTCAATACTAAGCATATTTTAGAGCACATATGGCGCAATGGTTAGAGGTGCTCTGCGTCGCGCACATGGTCCAAGGGTTCGATCTCGCGTTCATGGCTCACCAAGCCATACATCCGTTCGGAGTCGGTAAATCGGTACCGAACTGGTCACAGACCTGTCTGGGAGAATAAGCAGCAGTGACTTGATACAGCGGGAAGCCACCATGAGTCATTTTGAAAGCTAGATACCAATTCAATCATCTCAAACGAAGTTGAAAAACTGAAAACGAATGCATGGCGTATCGCTCAGGGATTGATCAACGCTGAAAGCTTCATTTTTTACCTCTTAAGCGTATTTTAATGTCTCCTTATTGCTCCCAGGTGCCCTGGTATTTCTGCCTGATACACTTGAACCTGGATTTTTTTTTGTATATCAAGTTGAATAATACATGAAATATCATTTCACCCTGATTTCTATTTGCTCTACTTTATGAAGCACGATTCTCGTATAATGTAAGCGATCGTAAGTATATTCAGAGCGTCATCCACGAGGTGGCCGATGCTTGCTTGCATGGCTAGAAGTGATCATATATTTGCCCTAAATCGCAGGTGTATTTGGCGTTCCCTGTAACTTGTGTTGGATCAACATATACTTTCCATATATACAAACACAACCGTATCCATACATCAGTGCGTAGGCGTTCCCGCATATAACTACATTGTAGTGTTACGTTGAAGCGGTTGTTAAAGTGGAGTGACTACTAAACATATATGACATGATTCAAAGTCGCATTAAACAGGCCGTACACAGAGACTGGAGAACATCGCAAACCCTTCCTGGACTACAACTGCTCTTTGTGCACAGCTCAATGAGCTAAGAACTTCCTAGAAAAAAGTGTCAAATCGGACGGTGGTAGTGCAACGGTTCAGCACATGCCCCCGAAAAAGTGAAATCTGGGTTCGAATCCCAGCTGCCGCAAAACATTTTTGCACATCACTCTACATCATTGGGTAGAAGACCTTTCCATTGCACAAAAGGAAAGCAACATCCTTCTCGTGGAGCCAGTGGTGCTTACAAAGAAAGTTTAGCGGGACAGGAATGACTGCGACTGCAGCGGTGTTCGTTCGATGCAATGGGTGAAAAACAAGATTCCAAGTGATACCTGTAAATTTACATCAACAATTACAATTGTCGAGGTTGCAAGTTATCGGTACTAAAACTGCAGCATGTATTACCTACTGTCATGCATGTATATTACCCAGGCGATAAATCAAAGTAGAGTTTTTTTCTGATTCTACACTTCTCTAGAATTTATTTAGAATAATTCCTTACATACCACATTTACAAACGAGGTAACTAAGTATGATCATTTCAAACGCTTTTTCATGCTCCTTAAAAAATTGTAATTTGTGCTTCAAATGGGAAATAGGAAAGGAGCTGGAAAACAAGGCTATTCATCGTCAAGTGAGAACTACATTGTGAAGGAATGAAGACAGGTTTTTACATCGAACAGCTGAAAAATGAATACCATGTGAGATTAAGACAGTTGTAATGGATGAGGAATGTACAGGTAGACCGGCTTGCCAGTTATTATAATGAGGTTTATGGAAGAAACGAAAAGACGACGATCCTTGTCGCTTCGAGTAAGTTCTCAGGAAACTCGTTTGGTTAGCACTAACTCGTGAGGATTTCATGACTCATGGTAAACATATCAATCACTAATTTTTATCGCCTATCGATTATCCTCGCCTCCTATTTAGCATTTCTTTTCCTATTCAATATTTATGTTCGCTGTCATACTTCGGTCAAAAATTGTCAGAATCCTTTACTTCCAGTTGGTAATTGATGCTATTATCAAATCACTATTAGTTCAGTAAGCGGAGAAGGAATTCAAAGAAAAAAAGTAGTGGTAAAGTAGGAAAAACAGCCAGGCGAGGAAGAGTATTGGAGAGAGATCTCTACATAAAATTTATTTTACTAAATTTCATTAATAGATTATGGCTAGTTCTGATTTTCAGCATAATGACAGATTTGCGACGAAAATGTAATTATTTTATGAAAGTGACTTTAAAAAATTTAGCCTATACTCGAATTCGTTTGAGAAATTATGGTAGGGCTATTTTATGCACCGACTAATGGCACTCTATCTCTTTGCTGTTGATATAAAATATGGAGTTCATCTAAGGCAGAATGTGGAAAAATTTATTACTTATCCAATTCAAGAAGGATGTATGTGGATTAACACAGAGAACTTGTCGACAGAAACATGAAAAGACAACAGTCAACACTTGCGAGATTAACGCGAAAACAACTGCTGAAATTCTTCACTGCCAAAGAGTGAGAATGTTTATGTCAAACTATAGAAAAACAAGGATTTTTTCAAAAGAAGAAAAGAAAATTGACCTCAGTACAAACGATGCATCAAATGATTACTTCCGCGGTTATGAATTATAGTAGTAACATCAGCATTGATGTGCATCTATTTCAATGCGTGTACGGTGGGGAGCTTATTGGAGAGCCGAGTTAGCTATTTGAATTGGTTATTGCAAATCTGTATTCGGAACTTTTACAGTCTACATCATCAAACCTATCTTCTTTCTCTTATACGCCAGAATTGTCAGGTGAGGTATGGGTTTTTGATAAGTTCGTCTTTAGTACGTGATTTGGTGACTGTTTTACCCCGAAGCAAGAGTGATTGTGAATGCAATTTAAAAAAAGCTTCGAACTGGAGGAAGAAACCAGTGCCCCCATATTGCTTACTCATCGTCATCAATTTAAGCAGAGGCAATGTGAAGACTATCTGAACTGGAACCACTTACAGTTGTTTTGAGTGAGTGAATTATTTTTTGAAATTTATCTCTTCACAAGAACAGAATGCTTACAGTCGCTAGGCTTTCACAAAAAAGCATGGAAACTGAGTAATTGAATGGTTTGACTGTTGTTTATTCTTAGAAGCACTTTAAGAGGGTACAGTGAGCAGTCCCTACATCAGTGTGGACGAGGTCGTGAAAAACACTAGTCATACACGTCCAAGCATAAAATATCATTTCAAAAGCCATGAACTCGCAACAATGAGGCCCTGTATTATGCGACGGCAGTCATATGTTCAGTCAGGATTGTTCATTGACACACAACGTGCAAGATAACAATCACGCCGAAAAAGTGCATCTATCGCCTTTTTTATTTGGTAGCTATCTCTATCGCTTTGTCAAAACAAAGGACCAAAAAACGCATCTAGATTTTGGGCTTTTCGTAGCTACAGGTTAGTTGTAAGCATAGAAATGCTTAGAATTTTGTTTTAGACGAATTTTTTCATTTCACCGCGAATCAACATCACTTGTACTCCTGTCGCTCATTGAGTTACCAATGTGTACTTGTGAATTCTCTGATCGTACCTGCTGCATACCAAATCTATCCATTCGATTTTCCTTTTCCTAGGAATATGAAAAGGCACCACAATTTCTTACTGAGCCATGATTTTGGCAGCTGCTACTCTCCTCTAGTAATGTCTAGCCGATAATTAGCACCCTTGAGTGGTAATCTTCCACTTAGCCTCTGAAACGTCTAAGCAATCCGCCAAGGATCCGTGGTTCAATCAATGCAACATGTTGTTGAATTGAAGAAAAAAAGAAAGAAAACATGACGTGATGGACAAATATTGTGGAGACATGGTGTTTTTAGAGATCGTTATTTATCATTTTCATGTGCTTATCCTGATAATGGTCAATAGGCTGGAGTGTTTACCTTGGTTTTGGATTTCAGATATAGTAGCGATTCTTACTAAAAACATAGTTTTAATAGCATTGTGTGTATCAGGATTAAATGAAACACGAATCAAGGTTGTACAAAATAAAGGTTTTCGAGCTCGTGATGTTGATCAATCCATAGAGGGCACTTTCATGTACGCTGAAATTCCATAGATAAGAGCGGTTCAATTCTTCCAAAAAAAAAGAGACAGACAAACACGAGCGCTGTCGATAATGAAATAAATTCTCAAGTTTCTTATTTTTTTATTCTGAGCATCAAACGGCAATGATTTCATTCCTCTTTTCAATTCCCACCTCAATACCATTGTTCATATTCATACCGACAAAATTGTTTTGATTTCGAAGCTATGCAGGATAGTGTCAGATGAGATGAATTACTAAGATTTAGAAATAAGAATAAGAAGAAGTTAAAGTAGGATTAAACAAAGATTGCTACAAATTGCCAAGTCAATGAAATTACTAATAATTACGAAATTTAATTAAGTGCTATTCCCCAGCTCAGACCGCTCTTATCTATGGATATTTAGCGCAGTATTGTTGAAAATAAGTAAATGCTTCTTCTACACAACGAGTTGCGGTGGCTTTCTGATGTATCAAATCATTGCTGTTATCCTTCCACTGTGCCTCTAGACGCTTTTTTTTCTCCCATTTTCACTGTTTAGTTAGAATTACAGTTTTTGTATAATCCATCAGAGTGAATAAATAGATCGCAGCATTGATTCGTCATTTCGACTTGATACTTGTTGGCACTGCTATACCATACTTCGAAAGAAAGGATGAATTATAAAAATTTTATCTCCTATCAAAATATTCTCTATTATTGTTTCACCCACGATGTCTTATCAGAGAACGGGTAAACAAAATTCCAAAACACTGGCTCAGTCTTATCGCTATGTGAGTCCTCGCATGAAAAAGCACAAATGTAAGCTGGCTACTTGATACTGCATAGCCCACATCTAGGAGCAGCGCGATTTAGCTTGTCCAAGATTTTACCGAGGACAGCGTTTATCTCGGGTCTCAATAAAGTTCTTGAATAAATTAACTACCTTTCAGTTGTGGCTGAACTAGGAAGTCGATGATTACCTACTGTACTTTGCGATTGACACCTTTTGAAAAAATCGTTATGAATGTCAAAAAAAAAATATTGGAGCGAATCGAATCGGACGTTTGAAACAGATGTTTCTCATTATCACACTTCTCTGCCGCCACATCAAGTCGAGTCGAATTCAGTTTGTGGAACACCACACAAAAAAGGTCAAGTCAGTTTTCTTTTTTATTTGGCGCGTATTTTGTGAAAAATAAGTATAAAGGGTTTAGAGTTCATCACTCCATTCACACATGTAGCACTGAAATTTTCGAGAAAAATATAGAGCTTGATTTTCAAGCTGGATCCGACCGATGACTCTGTTGGAGTCGTGCTACCTCTAAGCACTGCATACACATGTGCTTTGTGAAGCTGAAACTCACTATAGTTAAAGATGAACAAATATGTCTGTACAGATTATAATCAAGTCTCCTGCATCACAGTGATGAAGAGAACAACAATTCAAATTGGATACACGTTGATTTAGCTTGCAAAACAAGATTTAAAAAAAAGTATGTATAGAAGAATCTCTTAGAAAAAATTGTAGTATGCATTGCTAACCTCTCTTCAAGATATGCATGCAATAATATGTTTCCTAAGCGGATTAGTGTCATACTTGTACAACAGAAAATATTATGTAAAATCGTAAACGAATCAACATGTCGGGGAATGAAAAAATGATAAGTTATTAAACATTCTGATAGAAAAATCGTATTCGAAAACGCTTCATTTACAGACCTGGGCACGTGGCTATATGACGTGATGATGCATCAGAAACTATGCAGTTTTTGAGGAATTCGAAATTTTAGTGATGAAAAGTAGTAAAATTCAGGGTAGATAGAACGCGACAGTCGCGTATTCGTAGAGCCATAACTTCACGTACCAAGTAGAAAAATAAAGAAAATAATATTAGGTGGAAGAACCTTAAACTGTTGAAATTACAGAAGTGATAAATAGGATTTGGATTTCATTTGCGTGTTTCATTCATAATTTGAAGGATGAAGGAAATGGTGCGTTCAAATGACTAGTGATTAGAAATTTTCTAGCAGTCAAGGAATAAACATGGTGTACTGATGTTTGGCTTAACGGGAACTCGCCTAGACCGGCTTCGAGTTGACCAACAGTTC